ATAAAGTATACTTAAAAATATACTTGAACTTTACTTAAGTATACTTACTAAAATAAACTTGAAGTATACTACTTTTTGGTAAGGGATACACATGACAGGATGACTGAAAGTATGAGTTTAAAAAAATAAAAAGTTAATTCTTATGTGGTGCTTACATTTTTCTTCTTAAAGGAGCCAATGGCGCCTTAATTGACATTTTTGTCTGGAGCCCTGCACTAGTGACAAAAACAAAGGTGGAAGCAATGGGAGAGATCACTACTGTGGCAGTGAAACTAAAAGTAGATGATAAAAAGAAAAAGAGTGCTCATATGAGAACATGGAAAGATCAATACTTTAGAACTGCATCTGTGGAAGCGGAGGAGGTACCTACTAATGAAGTAGTGATGAAAATAAAGGAAAATAACTAGAACTCGCTCCTGCAGGAGCAAAGGGAAGAAAGATGACTGATGGCCAGAGAAGAAAGCAGAGGTCAAACAGAGACGCAAACCACGGTAAAATAGTGGTAGCAAGAGGTAATGAAGTTAACTAGCATGTTAGATGCAGTCCAAATGCTAAAATATTTCTTAAAACTGAAAGAAAGGGCGTGGAAGTTTGTCTCATTGAACGAGGAAAAATGTGAATGCAATGCAATTTTTTTTGTCTTACCATTTTAAATAAAGAATTTTCAATGCACATTCACACCCAAGAAGACAGAGAACATTGTGAGAGAAAACTATGAAATTCTGAATTTTGCTCACCCTAGACACACACACACAGAGAGCCAGGTATGAGTGCATGAAAGGAGTGTGATTCGAGGTTCTTGTTGATGTGAAACAATTGTGCCTCAGACACAAAGGACCTTGCTAGATCACCCTCATTAAAATCATTACTACTGTCAGTGATAATGAAGCGTTAGCATGAATGCAAAATCAAACTGCATGCAAATAAATTCTCACGAGAGACACACATCAGCTAAAGCCTCACAGATCATTGATGGACAAATGCATTTTGCAGAAGAAAACGTGATTAAACAGACATTTCAGGAGACTTCAAAACACTGAAGACAGGGTGCATTTCCTCAGATTCACCTCTGAAAACAGCACAACTGGAGCACGCTGCTCGTTTCGGATGAGTGTGAATGTGTAAAATAAATGAGCTAATTGGTGAAACTCTGTTCAGTTCAGACCCGTAATGAAAAACGCTTCAAACGTTAACCAATTAAATCAATGAAAGCGTGAGGAAGTAGTAATTAAACACTAAACCTGTCGTCTGTGCACTTTAGTAATTAGTGTTAATGTTCTGGAATTAGAGTTGGTTAGGGTGAATGAACGCAGTGCCATCAGTGATATAAACGTCATCCTTCCACAGTTTCTTTGGCGGTTATGAAACTCTTCTTGTGTTTGGCAACCGAAAGTTTCATTTTGAAATTTGGAGTCAAATTCCAGCAGCTGAAAGCATCGCTCATTAACGTGTCCTCCGGTCTTGACTGATGAATCTCTGAGATCAGAAGCGTGGAAGCAGGTCTCAGTATATTTCAGTCTGCAGCTCAAATCCTCTTCCAGTCTGGAGAAAAGATGCTCCATGATGAAGAGAAGCCAGCGACTACAGCAGAGACAAACACATACAACACATCTGCTGTACCTTCTTTTGACATATAATATATGTCATATAAACATATAATGCAGTGATTGAGAGCTGAAGAAATAAAGGCTCCTCAGAAGATGTGAGATGTTCTGGAGGCTTGTGAAGATCATTCCTCCGCTGAGGAACAGTGAAAGTAAAGCTTCTGGAAACAAACGCTCCTCAAAAGATCCTGAGGATCAGATTTGAGACTCTAAAACATGATTGATGGAGAATCAAGTAAAGCTGAGCTGCTTCAGTCCAGTAAGTGTTCATCTGGAGATATTACTGCAGTTATTCTGACCTTTACTTGATCAAAATCAGTCAAGATTTGACACGAGAAGCTCCAGCTGAAGCTGGACGTTTACACTAAAGGAGGAGATTGAGTGCGAAACAGGTTTAACTGCAAAGTTTTGATGCGCTGCAGTAGCTTTATAGAGTGAATCTGTTGAGAAGATGATCAGCACATGATGTTTGTAATGGCATCAGCGCTGTGTTTGTTTCTGGCAGGAGGATGTTTGAAGGTGAGCTGCTGGTCTGTTGGGTGTCATTCAGGTCGAGAGCTGATGATAGATCAGTTTTGACACATTGAGGACGCAGCGCTGGCCGAGGAGCTTCTCCAGAGACTGTGGGACGCATGCGTTTCTTTTCTTGGTTTTTAATTCAGCTTTTGTATGCTGATAGTCCTCCATGAGCGCTGCAGGCTGATGAATTTTAAGCGAGTGTTTGCGGTGAATGCGAGTCACTGGAGGACGAAACCTCAGAGGGACGCAGATGTGCTGAAGGCTTCACTTGACGCTTCAAGGCAGATGTTGTCAAGCGATGCCGCAGAGAGCGATTGAACAAAGCCAGCGGTGAGGTTAAAGATGGTGCAGGTGTAGACCAGAGGGACCTTGTTTACGGACCTTCGGTCAGTTTGAGTGAAACTAGGTTAGAAGACGAGGAGTCTGTAGCAGGTCTGTCTTGATGTAGACTAGCTTTGCATGATTATTAGAAATAAAACAGAAATCGATCGATGGCTTAGTGCCATTATTAAAGCTGCATTCCTTTTATTTTTTGGTTAAAATTATCCAAATCAATTATTGAGCAAGTACATAACCAATCAGCGTCATTACGTCAGGTCTAGTAGACTATATTTGCAGATGGCGGATATTAAACTTGTCATTTTAGAACGAGTTCTAAGGAACGTTAAATTGCTTTTTGAGGTTAAAAGAACTATTTCTTTCGGTGACATTCGAATGGTATGACAACTAGAGACTAGACTGTGCCGAAATTGAAATCTACAGATAATACACTTTAAATACACGTATGCAATGTTGATGTTGTTAACATTAACAATAATAATAATTTGCATGGTTTGATGTGAGCTAACTTTGAGATCGTTAGATTTAATCAGCATTGGTAGCGCGATTTTATTGTAAAACTTTTTTTCCCCAGTTGGTCAGAACAAAACTGACTGACAGCCACACATACAACATCAGATTCATCCGCGCTGATGCACAACCCACATAATGAAGATAATTCTATATTTAGATCATCTCTCAAAAGTGTAAAACAAAGGTATG